CCCTGGGCAGGTGGGGTCCTCCTTGGACAGGAGGGCTCCTCCCTTAGCAGGTATGGCCCTCCCTGGGCAGGTGGGGTCCTCCTTGGACAGGAGGGGTCCTCCCTTGGCAGGTATGGCCCTCCCTGGGCAGGCACAGCCCATCCTGGCTCGGGGCCCTCAGGGAACTGTGGCTGATGCTGGCTCTGCTGTTGTGCAGTGGTCAGCTGTACATCCTCATAGGCCCTGAGGATCCAGCGGAGAGAGAGAGACGGGCATCGTTGCCCCGGGTGTTTCAGTCCCTGTCCCTTTTCTAGGTCTCCATTGGCTCTGGCCTTCCCTTTATATATAGGATGTTTGTTTCTAGGGAAGGCCAAGAGAATGAATTCAACAGCATTTGTTAAACCCTTCAACTTTATATAAAGTGGTGCAAGCATTTCTTCTTATTAAATGATATTATAGCCAATATTATTGTTAATTTAGCTCTCACTATTGTGCTAAACCCTCTATATACATTCTCTGATGAATGAAATGGTACAGTACTGAGGAGTTTTAACAAGATCAAATGCACTGTTTCCCAAGGGAATTTGCACCAGAACCTGCCACCAGAACCTGCCAGTCAGTTCTTTGCACGCAGGCAAAATCAGCAACCGTGTCACTCAGATTCTGAAGGGTTTTGATATGACAGTATAAGCTGTAGCTCCATTTATATGATCCAGAAATTGCATGGGTGTCTGTGATGTGGTCCTGAAGTCTTCTCCATGACTAAGCCCGTGGAAGGAGCCTCTGAGGTGAAGGTGCCAGGACATGAGGCCATGGCTGGGTGCACCTGGCCGGATGGACAGCACCCTTCCTCCTCACCAAGGCCCCTGCGGGTGGGTTCAATCTCCACTGATGGCCTGTGGGTAATGGAGGGGAGATTTGGCAGTCTGCTGGCAGTCACGCCCTGCAAAACTAGAGTGATGGGCAGGGATGGTGACAAACCCAGTTGGGGTGGCACAGGGAGAGCTGTGGCCGGGGACTCCTATGCCGCCTGGTGGCAACACTTATAGATGGCTTGGTGTTTGTGACCCAGGCTGCTGGATGCCAGAGTGGCAGCCATGTCTCTGCTGGCTCTGAGCATCATCCTGTCTCCTAATCATCCTGGATACTCATTGTACCTGGCAGAGACAGCCTGAGAGGACTCAGATGGACACTGGGGACCGCAGTGGGGGAGGGAGTGCCTGGGCAGAGAACTTTCCATCTACTCAGTCCCTCTCCATCTTGTCTGCTCCGGGCACCTCACTCACGTCCATTACTAGGACAGCCTTGTCACTTCAGGCCGTAGCACTGACCTTCCTGCCTTGTCTCAGCTGTGACTCCACCTGTCCACGCAGCCAGCACTCGCCCACACAGAGGCGCTGGTCGCTTCCCAAAGACCCTCGGGCTCTGTTTTTCTCTGGTTCTGCTATATTCTGGAACTTTTCCCATGCCTGAAGTGGAATAGCTCTAAACAGCTTTTCCTGGGAAGTGGTGGCTCTCATTCATTAGAATTATGCCTCTTTTACAGGTCTCAAAAACAGATCCATCCCCGAAGAGGGAAGCTCCCACCATGATTCTTTTTAATGTGGTGTTTGCGCTGAGGGTGAGTGTTTGTATAAATGGCTAAAGAGCCTGGGCCCGCCAGGGAGGAGGCTCAAGGAGGTAGCGGCAGCTCATTTCCTGTGATGGTGTCATTAACTCAGAGCCCAGACTGTGGGTGCACGCACTGGCCCCTCCTGGGTGCTGGAAGATTCTACCTGCATTGTTTCCCTCTTGTTTTTTAAATAAAAATTTACCATTTTAACCATTTTATTTATTTTTATTTTTATTTTTTTAATAATTTTATTCATTTATTTATTTATTTTCCCCCAAAGCCCCACTATATAGTTGTATGTCATAGCTGCACATCCTTCTAGTTGCTGTATGTGGGACGTGGTCTCAGCATGGCCGGAGAAGCGGTGCGTTGGTGCGCGCCCGGGATCCGGGCCCGGGCCACCAGCAGCGGAGCACGCGCACTTAACCGCTAAGCCACGGGGCCGGCCCCATTTTAACCATTTTAAAGTAGCATCTACTAACAATATTGTGTGATCATCATCACTATCTAGTTCCAGAATGTTTTTATTGCCCCAAAAGGAGACCAGTTATTCCTCATTCTCTCCCCTCCCCCAGCCCCTGGAAACGACCGATCTGCATTCTGTCTCTGTAGCTTTACGTGTTCTGCATGTTACATGTAAATGGAGTCCTGCAATATGAGATTTCTGGTGTCTGGCTTCTTTCACTTAGACAATGATCTTGAGATTCATCCATGTTGTAACGTGTGTCAGTACTTCATTCCTATCGTGGCCAAATTGTATGCCATTGTATGGAGGGACCACACTTCGTTTATCCATTCATCTGTTGATGGACATTTGAGTTGTTTCCACCTTTGGGCTTTTACAAACAAAGCCGTCAAGGACATTTGTATACAGATGTTTGTGTGGATACGTGCTTTTGTTTCCCTTGGGTATATACCTGGTAGTGGAATTTCTGGGTCATATGGGAAGTCTGTGTTTGACCTTTTGAGGAACTGCCAAACTGTTTTCCATGGTGGCTGCACCATCTTATATTCCCACCAGCAGTGTACAAGGGTTCTAGTTTCTCTATATCCTTGCCAACGCTTGGTATTTTCCTCTTTTTTTTATGATTAAGCCTAGTTGTTTCTTAAAGCAGTTCCCACTGCTGGTTGAAGTTATGTTTTCAGTAGTTATAAGAAATTCCTTTTCAATAAATCTGTCAAAATATAAGGGATCCAAATAAACATAAAAGGCACCCCTGAGTAGGACTGGCTTATATTATGAAGGGACTTTGAAATACCTAGGAAATTTATATTCAGTGACTCTTAGATAATGAAATTCCTCTCAAATATCCCACCTGGGTCAGTTTTCACCAAAGAATCCAGTAGTTCTTTCTGGCTGGGCACATGTGATTTGCATGACAGCTTTTGTACAGAACTGTCAGCGAGAAAGGGACTGGATCTTGGTGACAAGGAACAATGTGTGCTCTGAGAACCATCAGAGGGAAGGAATGAGACTGAGCAGATGGGGAACCTATAAAATTAGATGCCATTCTAAGTTGCAGGGTTTTTTTTCCATGAAGGCTTTTTTGTTGTGGTCTCACTGTGAATAGTTCAAAAATCAAAATAATGCTAGAGAAGAGTTCCTTTAGAATGGAGCTTAGTTTTTAAAAACTGGCCTACCTTATTGATAAATAAAGAACTACAAGTTTAAATAGAATGATTTGTTAATGGTGGCTGTCCCTGGGGCCCAGGGCTCCTAGAGGAGGTCCTTACTTTCTACTTTATACACTTTTGTGGTGTTTGCATTTTCACAGTATCCTTGTATTACCTATATAATTACATAATACAGACATCCACAAAATAACTTAAGTAACAAACTAACAAAAACCATGACGAATGCTGTCCAGCTGTCAGCGCCGATAGCCCCTGTGGGATGGGCAGTGAGAAGCAGCCATGGCCCCACCCAGACGTTGTAGGCAGGCCCTCATCTCTGGGGAGCAGCATGTGATAGCAGAGGTGTGACACCCTTGGACATAGCAGTCAAGAAAACAAGCAGATTTTAAAGTTGTATAAAGATTTTTATAATGCAGGCACACCTTGGAGATAGTGCTGGCGTGGTTCCAGATCACCACAGTAAAGCAAGTGTCACAAAGAGTCATGAGTTTTTTTGTTTCCCAATGCATACAAAAGTTATGTTTATACTATACTGTGGTCTATTAAGTGTGCAGTAGCATTATGTCTTAAAAAAACAGTGTTCATACCTTAATTAAAAAATGCTTTATTGCTAAAAATTTCTAACCATCATCTGAGCCTTCAGTGAGTCCTACTGTTTTTGCTGGTGGAGGATCTTGTAAAAAATGCAATATCTGGGGGCTGGCCCAGTGGCATAGCAGTTAAGTGCATGCACTCCACTTTGGTGTCCCGGGGTTCACTGGTTCAGAACCCCGGGTGTGCACTGATGCACTGCTTGTCAAGCCATGCTGTGGCGGCGTCCCATATAAGGTGGAGGAAGATGGGCATGGATGTTAGCTCAGGGCCAATCTTCCTCGGCAAAAAGTGGAGGATTGGCATCAGATGTTAGCTCTGGGCTGATCTTCCTCACACACATACACACACACACACACGCACACACAAATGCAATATCTGCAAAGCACAGTAAAGTGAAGTGCAATAACAGGAAGTATACCTGTACTAATTAGGCTGGAAGTGATCCTGGTGTCCATTAGTTGGGGAATGATTAGACAAGGTGGTGGTGGTTGTACATTGGCACGTCTCACGGCCATGAAAGGTGAGAAATGGGGATGAGGCCCGAACCTGGCACAGCATAGGTGGGTTACTGCCAGGTAGAAGCAGGAGGGAACAAGATAGTGGAGGACTTCAGGTATCATAGGCCGTAATGTTGAAGATTGGGAGGGATTTTAAATGAGGTAAAGAGTTAGTATTTTATAGTGGAAAAGTTTTTTTCTTCTTTTCAGTTGTCCTACATAAAAATGTATACTGTTTTCACTTCGAAAGTTTTAAACAAACCCTGAACTAGTGACAATAGTTTGATAAACCTCATACGCCCATCTCTGAGATCCCACAACTGTCCCCTTTGCATCCTGGCTTCATACCCTCCCACACCTTGCTGTTCAGGTATTTCCAGCAAGTCCCAGACCTCATGTCTGTTCACTCCTACATACTTCAGAAGGCATCTGTGTAAAATATGGACATTTATTTTGCACCATGATACCCTTTTCACACCTGACAAAATTTGCCACCAGTTGGTATCAACTAGTACCTGGTCCATCGAAACTTTCCCCAATTACCACAATATTTTTTCCAGTTGGCCTGTGTGAAACAGGATGAAAACCCAGCCCACACAGGTGTGTGTGGCTGTGTTTCTAGGTCTCTGCCAGTCCAAGACTCTCCCCTCCTTTGCCCCGTTGAATGTTCCAATGGGGTGAGTTTGGACTCATCTCATTGTGCAGACAGACTGGCGCTCTGTCCCTGTCTTTCCTGCAAACTGGACACTAGCTCTGCAGGCCTGACGACACTTGGGTATGAGTTTTGGGGGTGAAGAAGTCTCACAGGCGATGCCCTAAGCTTCATGCTGCTTCATATAACTTATGGGGAAAGTGTTGCTGGCATGTCCTAGGCGGTAGCTTTCTCAGCGTGGCTGCACACAGCCTTGGGCTCTGCAGGCACCTTGAGTGTAGCCCGGCCTGTGCAGCCAAACAGGAAACCCTGGCACACGCCGTCACTGCAGGCCATGGGCCTTGCCTGGGTGAGCACCACCTTGCACGGCTGGGAATATGGAGTGAATGGGCTCTGGGCATCTGACTTATGAGACTGCTGTGCCCCAGCCAGTGGCACCTCTAGCACAGGGTCGGGCTCTCAGGTGTGACTTGATTACTTCTTCAAGGGAACAATCATATGTTCAGGATCATTCTCCTCCCTCTGCTTTGCTGGTGGGAGTATTTTTACACAGATTCTTCTAAAATTGTATTTTGTTTTGAAGCAGTTGTACATACCAGACCCTCCAGTTCCGTAATCCTGTGGGGGACACTGTTGAGGGGGTGCCCTTGACATAGAGAGCAAGGCTGTTGCCCAGTGGTGGGCATGGCATGGGAGCAATGCTCAGTCCTCTCCCCAGCACAGATGTGCTGCCAGGTGTGAGTTCTGTTTGTGAACATGGGATCTGCTAGGAGTTTGGAAAAGCTCTCCAACTGCAGATGATGAAGGTGTTTACTGAGTCTGAGTCAGGTTTTGGCCCAGAAGTCTAGCTGTGGACACTCTGTGGGCAGGGCCCTGCCTGCCAGATAAGCAGGAGGGGGCGGCAGTACCGGAGGTTCTAATCAGCAGCACCATTCGTCTCTCCCCCTTCTCCCACCTCCACCCCATAGGATGACTCAGCCGCCCTGTTGGCCTCCTGAAGCACTGAGTCATGGTTGGTCAGTTATCTGCTCCGTGGAGCATCTTCACAGACCCCACAGCTGCCTGCTCCACCCTTGGCCTGGGTGGATGTGCCTGTCTGGCCTGACTGTGGTCCCTGATAGGTTCTAGAGTTAGGACAGGGTGTGGAGGGAGCTTGTGGGTAGGGGGTGGCTTAGAGCCTGCTGGCTTCTCCTGCTAGCCAGGTCATTTCTGCTGGGAAGAGCTTATTATCCTCAAGGAAGTCTTCAGTGAACAATTAGCCTAGTGCTTCTGTTTATTATACTGTGTGTCCCTGTGGTAACATGGGATGTGTGACTGAACTCTCACAAGCCCAGTCGTGTCCACCAACAGTCAGCAGCACCCTGGTGACCGCAAACGCCTCCAGGCTTTGCTCTGGGCAGACTCTGTGTTGAACAGTTGACATGTCTGGCTGACTGGTGAGGGAGGTGCCCTATTGTCCTTTCTCAGCCAGGAGCCTGTGACCCTGGGTCACACAGCAGGTGGGTGGCGGGATCTGTGTCCTCAGCTGCCCCACTGGGCTGCCTCTGCCAGGCCTGGAGTGGATGCCTTCCTGGACGGCCCTGGTGTGGTGCCCTGCAGCACGAGAGCCTTTCTCTACTTGTAATGCCTGTGTCCCCCCCCACCGCGGAAACTCCGCAGAGCCATCTCTGTGCTGTCCTGCAGGCAGCCATTCCCGAGTTTCTGTCATCTGGCCCTAGGGGGGACAGAGGAAGCTGGGGACAGCAGTGGCACCTGGTAAGGGGCCTGGGGAAAAAGAGTGGAGGAGGTCTCTTTTATGGTTTAAGTCCTTGCTGTGTGTGAACTGCCTGAGCATGGATCCTGTGTTTGAGTCATGTGTGGTCTCTCTCCCGCAGGCCAATGCAGACCCGTCGGTGATAAGCTGTCTGCACAACCTTTCCCGACGCATCGCCACCGTGCTGCAGCACGAGGAGCGCCGCTGCCAGTACCTGACTCGGGAGGCCAAGCTGATCCTGGCGCTGCAGGACGAGGTGTCTGCCATGGCTGATGGTGAGTGCGGGAGGGGTCACTGCTACCCCAGCACCACGGCAGAGCAGGCAGATGTGGAAACGGAGGCACCCAGAGGTTACGTGGTCTTCACGCAGGCCGGAGCAGGCACAGGGCACACAGGAAGGCTCCCCAAGTGACACAGTTGTAGACCCACTTTCCTGGACTGCTGTTCTGAAATTTCCTCCTCCTTCACAAACCACTGCATCCTGGCTCTTCACGTATGTCAGGCTCTGCCTGCCCGGCTCTAGTCCTGCTGGACGTATTTCCCTGGGGCAGGAGGCCAGTGGGAATATTGAGCTCGCAGGGTAGACGGTTTCCAGTTCTTTGCTTTCAGCTAAATTCAAAGAGGACCTAACTGAGTTATCAACTGACCAATTATTAAAAATAATTCTTGCTGATAGATCACCATGAGATTTTTGGCATATCATGAACATTTCAGAGCACAGAGAGACACCCACCTGTAACAGATTCTCGACCTCCTCCATTTTCTCTTGTCAGCACATCCATAACAAAAAGGAAAACTAGGAACAAATTTGAAGGTGAACCCAGTCTAACTTCAGCAATAACTAAAAGTGGTGATCACCGTACACGAACTATCCCACTCAGGTGCATTTTCAATAGAAATTTGCTCTTTGTGTTTGACAGTGAGCTGTCAAAATGTGTAATGTATTTCTGTTTTGGCCAGTTATGTACTAATTAATAACAATCCAGAAGTTTTATTTTTTAAAATGTTCTCTTTGGAGTCTGTGACTTGATCGCTGGAAGTTTAAAAAGTTTAATTTAAGTACATATGTTTTTTGTTAGACATTTATTTATTTTTTATTTTTATTTTTTTTGCTGATGAAGATTGGCCCTGAGCTAACATCTGTGCCCATCTTCCTCTATTTTATTTGTGGGATGCCTGCCACAGCATGGCTTGATGAGCAGTGTAGAGGTCGGCGCCCGGGATCCAAACCTATGAACCCTGGGCCGCTGAAGCAGAGCATGCAAACTTAACCACTATGCCACCGGGCTGGCCTCTGTTAGACATTTATGAGAAAGAATTAATAAAAGATTTTTGATCATAAAAATAAATTGCATTAGCGTAAACGTGTGGGGGAAGAGTGGGACAAGGAATGAAATACCTGGTCACTGAAGTGGAAGGTGGCTCTGGTGGTCTGAGGGAGAAGCCTTTGGGGGAGGCAGGGGAATGGTTGGTTCCTGTAATGCCTGTGACTGCGGGGTCAGGTAGGGCCAGTGGTAAAATTTAAATACAGATATTCCGTATAAAGATGCTTGAACAAATTGGCCTAAGTCTAATTTTAATTCAACTGGATGCAAAGATTTTATAAAAAGCAATGAGGAATATCCTGATTCTTGGTCTAAAGTTACTTAAAATTCTTTTTAAGTTAAACTTGTTTTTAAAGGTATTTTCCATTCTTGCTTATGCAAGTTTCCTTGCTTTGGAGGCTCTACATCCTTCTGTGTTTTGATTTTTACAGCAAATGGCGGTCCTCAGTCCCCATTCCATCACATCCTGCCCAAGTGCAAGCTGGCCAGGGACCTCAAGGAAGCCTACGACAGGTGAGGCCGGTGGGCAGCGTGCTCCCTGCGCCTCCTTCTCACAGGCCTCCTTGCTTGAGCGGTGTGGAAGACAGGATTCCTGCTGGGTGCTTCTCTCCTGTTGTGCCACTCAGATGGGAGAGAGAGAGGATGGGGGCGTCCCAGCCCCTTTGCAGAGTGGCGTGTGCCCGGCTGGGACAGTCACCTCCAGATTTCTCTTAAACCAGAAAATGAACCTGAAGTTACACATGAGAGCCTGAAAGTGCTTTTGAGTCCTCCATGCAAGGTGACTTTTTTTTTTTTCAATATTTTTTTTTGTGAGGAGGACTAGCCTGAGCTAACATCCGATGCCAATCCTCCCCTTTTTCCTTGAGGAAGACTGGCCCTGGGCTAACAGCCATGCCCATCTTCCTCTACTTTATATGGGACGCCGCCACAGCATGGCTTACTAAGCTATGCGTTGGTGCGCGCCCGGGATCCAAACCTGCGAACCCCGGGCCGCTGCAGCGGAGCACGCACACTTAACTGCTGTGCCACCGGGCCGGCCCCCATGCAAGGTGACTTTTTAATGAACATAACACAGTGTCAAGTTCCAGGTCCACCTTCATCAGCTGGCTGTCACTGTCGCCACCTCACCCATGAGGAAACAGGCCCAGAGGGTGGAGCTGGGGTTGGCTGTGCTCCTCCCTGATCTGGGGACTTGGGGGTTTGGGACATTGAGTGTGTGAGGGCAGCAGGTGCTGGAGACATGGTGGAAGCCTCACAGTTGTTCTGAGTATATTGGTGGCTTGGCACCAGCTCTCTTAAATGTGGACAAGCAAAGAATGTCTTTTCTTTGTAAAGGATGTCCGTGTGGCTCTGACCACTGTTCCCTGGCCCTGGGTCTGCTGCAGGGGTTGAGGGTGGGCAGTGGGGGGTTTGGGGGTGCTCAACACCCAGAGGCAGCTTTGCCTTTCCTGCCCTGCACTGGGCTGTTGGTTCCCGAGGGGCCATCACTTACAGCTGAGGGGACCGTACAGCACCAGGCATGTTGCTGGACCGCTGGCACTCGGGTGCAGGCTTCTCTGGGGCCTTCCTGTTCCACCACCTCCTCTGCCTTCTCCTCCTCCCTCCCTGCCTTTCGTACTCTCCCACATTCTCCCTTGTAGCTCAGGGCCCCTCCTGGCCTTTGTAGGGCTTCACTCTCTTCAGGTGGACTCTGCATTCCCCACTGGAGATGGGCCTGAGCTAAGAGCTGTGGCAGGAGACGCCACATCCAAGCCCAGAGACGGTGGTTTGTCCAGGCTTCTTTCTGTTTTTTAATGTTAATATTTTTTTTCTGATTTCGCCAACAGTAAATGTTCATTACAGACATTTAGGGAATATAGGAAAGTGTAAAGAAAATGAAAGTCATCTATAATCCCATACCCAGTGATAATCACTAGGAACATTTGGGTAATTTTTCTTTTTTTTTTAACTTAAGCTTTTGAAAAGGTCACATACCCATCGAGTCTGAAAATCAGAGTGTTGAGTTTCTTCCCTACTGCACCCCGCCAGGTTCCGTCCTGGGGGCGGGCTGCTACGGGCTGGGCTGCGTTCTCGTATTGTGTGTCACGCCCCACAGGGGCTTCAGGTCCGTGCAGGCAAACCCTGACCTGCTCTCTCCCTTGCACACAGCACAGCACCTGTGCGTACTGTTTGCAGTTTGCCTTCTCAGTTTAACAGTCTAGCTTACATTTCTGTCTGTATTGGTAAATAAGGACTTTTTTCATTCTTTTTGCTGCATAGTCAGCCTCCTCCCTTGGGCATTTAGTTGGTTCCAGCTTTTGCTGCTATAAGACATGCTGCTCAGTCATGTGTGCCCGTATATCCATAATGTAAATTCCTAAAAGTGGAATTGTTAGCTGCATAGGTAAAATGTGTTTGTCGTTTTGATGCCTCTCCTTCTGTGGGGTTGTGCCTCAGTCTGCACTCCCACCTGCAGCACACGAGAGGCCTCTTCTTCCAGCTGTGCCCACAGGGTCTTGGTGAGCTTGTGGATTTTAGCCAGTGTCGTGGGTGGAGAATGGTATCTCAGTGGAGCTTTGTCTGAATGCGTTTGCACCATCCCTGTTTCCTTTTCTGTGAGCTGTCTGCTCAGACCCCTTGCTCCTTTTTCTGTCAGGAGGTACAGATGCCCTCACAGGGGAGGGAGAGTCGTCCTTTGTGATACACGTTGCTCCTGGTGTTTCCTTTGTCTTTATTTTGATGACCTCTGGGGTGGGCCTCTGGCTCTCAGAGAACATCAGAGCCTGAAACAGCCCTTGCGGAGAGATTGTTTTGGATTCTTATCCCTCCTGCTTTGGAGAACAACTCGATACAGCCTTAATCTTGGCCCAGAACGGGGTTTCTGGTCTTATGTCCAACCCTGTCTTTTTATCCCCGTGATCATGTTGAAGTTTCTCTGCAGTAAGAGAATTGCTGCCCTCTGTTGTGAGTTGGCTGGTATCAGAAGTCCCTTCCTTGGAAGCTGTTACCTTATTCTTTTTATTTTTTTTATTTATTTTTATTTTTATTTTTTTGTGTGTATGTGTGAGGAAGATCAGCCCTGAGCTAACATCCGTGCTAATCCTCCTCTTTTTGCTGAGGAAGACCGGCTCTGAGCTAACATCTATTGCCAGTCCTCCTCCTTTTTTTCCCCCAAAGCCCCAGTAGATAGTTGTATGTCATAGTTGCACATCCTTCTAGTTGCTGTATGTGGGACGTGGCCTCAGCATGGCCAGAGTAGTGGTGCGTCAGCGTGCGCCTGGGATCCAAACCGGGGCCGCCAGTAGCAGAGCGCGCACACTTAACTGCTAAGCTACGGGGCCAGCCCTGTTACCTTATTCTGAGTGGGAATTTGCGTGCCTCCACTAGGATTAGACTACAAGCAAAATTCAGGCTAACCTGGAATCAAGATAAAAAGCAAACCAGAGCCAGGCTTTATATTCCTAAGGAAAGACAGGATGTGCTTTCTCATGTTTGAATTACATTGGAAGTTTGGAGGGAATGAGATCCTGGGTAGCTGACTGCTTATTGCGCCATCTTCTGGGCCTGCAGCAGCTCAGAGCTTTAGGCAGCCCAGCACCTCCTAGTGGGCGTTAGTTTAAAGAAGAAGGACAGGAATCATAATTTTTGGCAAAAATAGCTCTTAGGGTCCACTGTTCAGCACTTAGCTTTCTTTCTCTAACCCAGGCATTCTCGTGTGTTAGTGCTCAGGATCACCTTTCCTCCAGGTGAATCCTCACCTTCCTGTTCCCAGACCCCACCCAGACCAGTCCTGGGGCCTGGGGCCTGCCCCAGGGAAGCCCATGGTGCTTCTTTGGCAGGAGTCCCAGGGGCAGCGGTGTCCTCCCCGTACCCTGTCTCAGCCTGGCAGCAGCAACAGCTTTGTGACTGTCCAGGAGCCCCCTGGCTTGTGGTCTTCCCTCTTTTCTTCTCCACCAGGTCCACGTTAGCCTCGTGGGTCTGGCCTCGCCTGCACCTGCTCCTGTAGGGTAGACTACACCTTGGAGCTAAGAAAGGGAGACTGAGTTTACCTTACTGATCAGGCAGCAGAGAACACAGCCCCTTTGTCCTGATGGCGACTTTCTGACAGATCCCTGGGAAAGGTTTTCTCAGAGTGGAAATGAGAGACTGGAAGCTGTGAGACTTAATGATGTTGGAGATTGGGGTGGGACTTTTCGGATGAATCGTTCTAGATTTGCTGTTTTAGTTAAAATCTAGGGTTATGGTGTGGCTAAGTGGCCTGGTGGCCCCGTGCCGTGGGACATAGGTGTCTCTGAATATAGGCTGGCAGTGTGAGGCTTCAGGAGGCCACTCTGACATTCCAGCACTCGTGTCTTGCTGTGGAGCTTGCTACCCTCGGTGATAGTGTTCCTTTCATTTTTGTGACCATCAGGTTGTGTCTCCCGTGAAGTCAGGGACAGCCCTTCACTTTTTGTAACACAGCCCTCGTGCTCGGCTGTGAGAAGCACAGCTTGTCCACTAGTGGTTGAAGGAATGAGTAAAGAGGAGTCACATCGATGTGGATTCCGTGGGGTTTGAAGAAGTTTGTTGAGCTGTTCTCAGAGTTAACAGCCTGTCACAGGGCCTGGGAGGCTTGGAGCTTGGGGAAGCTGCCCAGGGCCTGGCTGGGGGAGTGGTGTTGGGTCTGTCAGGGACTCTACTCCTGCTCCTCGTGGCCTCACGCTGGTGCCTCTCCAGAGCACAGATGGGTCCACAGACACCTCTGTGAATGTCCTGGGAGTTTTAGTCCCTATTTCCATAAAATGCAGCTACATATAGACTTTTGTTTGAAATTTCAGGGTGCGCGTTTTGGAGCCCACGCAGACCTCTTGGATCGTGTGCAGTGTCCCACTGCATGAAGTAGGAAGCCTGGCTGTGTGTGGGACCAGAGGGACCAGAGGGCGCAGGGCTGGCTTCTCAGGTCTCTGGCCTAGGACAGGAAGAAGGGTGACCGGAAGGAGACAAAGGAGGACATTTCAGTTATTAGCTGAAGGTTAGGAACTGAAATTCTTTCTCAGATGCTGAGCTGTGAGGGTAATGGAATAAGCTTGTACACATTTCCATCTGCTTTGTGAAAGATAAGAGCATGTTTTAAAGACCAGCGTGTTGCCTTATGCACAGTTATCGCTTCAGGACTCGGGGCTCTGGCAGGAGCATCTATCTCGCTTTGCAGACAAGGCTGGGCTCTCTCGTCAGGCCCAGAGCTGTGTGAGGGGCTGGATAAGCCTCACGTGGGGGTGGTGTTTTTCCTACAGTGTTTCCAATCAAACCATTAACTGCCCTGCAAGTAGAAATACAAGCTCAGCAGGAACCTTTCAGAGCCCAAACTCCTACCCTGCTAGAGTCTTGTCTTAAAACTGCACTTTAAAAACAGGGACACTGGGGGATTTTGCTGTGGGGCGTTTACAGGGCTTCCCCGGGAGCTCGAGGCAGGCAGGCGCGTTCCCAGTGCAGTCATCTTCCTTCCTCCTGACTTGTTCCAGGGTGTTCCAGGTGTTAGCCTGGGTTTGCAGCTGGCCCTCAGGGGGGCGCTGCTAGAGGAGGCACCTGGTCTCCACACTGTGGAGCTGGGGTTTGTAAAGAGGCAACAACCTCAGTGCAGAGCGCTCCAAGGGAGGAGGTTGCCAGTAGGCAAGAAGAGTAAAAGCCACCTGGAAACCAGGGGAATCAGTGTGGGCCTGTCTCCCCCGCAAAGAAGAGGACCCCAAGGCAGCGTGTGCACCAGGCTGTGTGGCCAGGGCCCTGGGACAGCCGAGATGGTGGAGATGCTCTACGGGTCTTAATTCTCTCTTGCTTCCCTCGTACCCAAATCTGGCACTTGCTGTTGAGTCTCCACGAGGTTCGTCCCAAGCCCCTTTCCACCTCCCACACACACCCCTCACCCTCCTGCACTTATCCCCTGTCATGTGGCACTCTCCAGCTTCTAATGTCCCACACAGTGTGCTTACGGTTGCCTGTGTCTTTCCCAACACCGCTGAGCAGGAACCCCTCAAATGCAGGCCCCTAAGTGGCACCCCAAGAGGCTCCCAGTGCTTGGAGCCTCACACTTGTCAGGCAGTTGCTGACTTGTGCTTGGCCTCATTGGGCTCCTGGGGGAGCAAGAACCAGCTACATTTGGAATGAAAGGATTCTCAGTGTGTTTAATTCTGATTCTGTGGTGTTGAGCGGCTCCTGTGAGTCAGATCCTAGGGAGGACAGCTCAGAAATAGAGAGATCTTTATTTTTGGTTGATGAGCTTTTCTGACCAGGTATAAAGGGAAGCAGGAGGAGCCTGGCCCGTTAGCTTTGTCAGCTCGTGCTCCCTGCAACCCCTGGTTTGCCTCGCTCTTCTCTTCTGTATGTGGATGCTGAGAGCGTAGATATTGCTGTCAAGTGGAGCAACTAACCTGGGTCCCCTGGCAGATATCTCGTGTGGCCTTTGATTTCTTAAGAGGCTGGGCTGTTTCTCACTGTTTGACATGAGCTGTCCACCTGCAGAGACCCTCAGCCAAAGAGGGGTGAGGCTTTGGGAACCTCCATCGGCTCAGATGTACTTGCTTAGCACTCAGTTCCATAAGGAGCCAAGAGTGGTGTCCTCCTCTGGGGCCCTGGGGAAGGACCTTGGGTCTCTTCCCCAAATTGTGACACTGATCAAACCCGTTCATGGGTTTCACCCTGAGGGACTGTGGCATCAGCAGCAACCAAACCTTCACCCTCCAGACTCAGCCAGAGCCTGCGGCGCCCCTCTGTGGCCAGGGGCGCTCTGACCGGCCCTCCCTGCAACTCCTCCATGGCCCTGAGGCCCTGGGAGAGTGGCCTGGGTTTCCTGCTGCCCTCGAGGCAGGGCAGGCAGAGGGTGTGTGGGCACTGTGAGCATTTTGCAGTGAGCGGACGGTGGTGTTGGGAGTTGAGAGTCCTGGGGGTAGTTGAGGTCACAGATGTGCCCTGTGCTCTTCCCATTGTCTTCTTGCCCCCATCGCCCAGTCCCTGCTTGAGAGAATAAAAACTTATTTTTGTGTTTTGAAACTGTGACCACAGATCCTGCCAGCCCTCTGGGTGGACGGACCTGTCGGGAGAAGCTTGGAGTGGTTTGTCTGCTGCTTGAGGCTTCAGGGGAGAAACCATAAGAACAGCCTGTGGGTGTGGGGAGCGAGGACCATAGGCCGCCTCCCAGCACTGTGCATTTGTTGCCCCTGAGAGAGGTCTGAGATCTGCGCAGGCGGCAGCTCCTGCCGAGCCTCCTCCAGCTGCCAGCCCACCCGGCCCCGGCCACACTTAGCCGGATGTGGGCGTCTTGGCCTGTCTGGCCATCTGGGAATAGCAGAGCAGGGTTGGAATGTCATGGGAAGAACACCACTTGGCCTGTCTGGGTCAGGCGGGCCAGTCCTGGACAGTGGGCACAGATCCTCTCTGGTCCACCCACCCGGGCAGAGTGAGGACCAGCCATGGGGACTTTGCTCAAGCAGTCACTTCTGCTCTGTGTTAGACACCAGGTGCTGTCGCCACCGAGCACAGGGGCTGTGCGGCTGGCTGTGGGGTGGGCGTCAAGCTGGCTTCTCCATCAAGGAGTTTCAGAAGCTCCGGCTAGAAACAACCCCTTTGTGTATGGCTCCCCAGTGCAGGGCGGGTGGGGCCCGTTCTCTGGGCAAGGGCTTCCTGAGAGAGAGTCCACCCAGAGCAGGTGGCACGTTCCTTGGGCTCCTTTCCTTCCTCCAGTCGTGAAGTGCTTTTCAGTGCCCCTCACGTACCCCACACTTTACCAACCGTGCAGTGGCAGTGAGTGAAACACGGGACCCCACCTCGTGACTGTGAGTTCTGGTCAGGGAAACAGCATGAACCAGCGGACAAGGAGGTGTGTGCTGTGGTCAAGTGCTTAGGACATGTGAACAGTGAGCAGTCGGATTGCCTGTGGAGCCAGGGCCGGGGTCAGGGCTCACCTCACTAAGAAGGTGGTGCTTAAGTTAGACCTGAAGAAGGGAAGGAGCCGCAGGGCGCCTGGAGGGAGAGCTCATGGCCAAGGGCAAGTACAGGCCATGAGAACAGCAGGGCGGCCAGTACAGCTGGACCCACCTGGGGTGGGAAACAGGGTCAGAGGAACACGGGCAGATCACGCGGGGCTCCTGGCATTTTGGGGTCTTGGTTGGGACTGCCAAGGTGGGAACCATGGGGGTCTGAATGGGGAGGACGGATGGAGGGGGCTGGTGCTGAGAAAGTCTGGACTTTCCAGACTGCAGGTGGAGTGGACAGGATTTGCTGATGGTTTGAGGTGGGATGTGAGAGAAATGAGTCAGGGACAGGGTTTGGGCCTGAAGACACCAAATTACTGTCACCAAGACGAGGTGGGGAGCTGGAGGTTTGCAGCTGAGGCTGATTTGGATGGTCACTGCAGTGCCCCTGGGACGTTGCTGGCATTTTCAGGGAGGCGGGTGCTGTGTGCTCCTCCCCAGCAGGATGTCCTAGGGGGCTTGGCACCCCCTACCCTTCCTCTCCTGCCCCGCTCTCTCCTTTTTGGAGACAGACCCTGCCCTGCCTGGCTGCCCCGCTGTGATGGGCCTTTATCAGGTCTGCAGGGGGGCCTCCACTCTCACCCCTGTGCAGATGAGGCCTTAGAACACCCCTGGGGCATTGAGCCTCCAGGAAGGAGATTGGAGAGGCTTCCCTCGAGCCCTGGCTCTCTGGTACAGATTCCAGGGCCAGCTGGAAATATACCATTTCTTTTTTTTTGTGAGGAACATCGGCCCCGAGCTAACATCTGCCAATCCTCCTCTTCTTGTTGAGGAAGACTGGCCCTGGACTAATATCCATGCCCATCTTCCTCCACTTTATGTGGGACGCCGCCACAGCGTGGCCTGACGAGCGGTGCATCGGTGCGCGCTTGGGATCCAAACCGGCGAACCCCGGGCCGCCGCAGTGGAGCGCGCGCACTTAACCGCTTGCGCCACCGGGCTGGCCCCTGGATATATACCTTTTGTGTGTGTTCCTAACGCATCAAACAGACCGAGATCTGGAAAGTCGCTTTCCTGCCCTGGAGGTCTCTCTCCACTTGCAGTTTCCTTTGACCAGTAGGAGCATGTGCTGGGAAGAAACACCCTCAGGGGGTTTTGTGTGATCTGTGTGCGTGGTCAGAAGTTGCTGTGTGAATGGGTGACGGCACCCACAGTAATGGAGCCCGCTCTCTGCAGCCTGTGCACCTCGGGCGTGGTGCGGCTCCACATCAACAGCTGGCTGGAGGTGAGCTTCTGCCTGCCGCACAAGATCCACTATGCTGCTGCCAGCCTCATCCCCCCCGGGGCCATCGAGCGCAGTCTGAAAGCCATCCGGTGAGTAGCCCACGCACACCTGCTGCAGGGCCTTCTCTGGAGCTTCTGCCTGAGGTTTTACCAATTACTTGGTTCTAAAAATTGTCTTTTCCTTTTCTTGCCACAGAAATTGGCAGGTAGGGCGCTCCCATTTATAGAAGTAAACACATTTTTGTGTCCGGTTTTGTCCAAGTTTCCCCTGGGTCTCTGGGCACTGGGGGAGTGGGGCTCTGCTGAAGGCCTCGCCTCAGGCCTGAATCAGAACTTGTGGGATCTCAGTTTCTTCATTTAACCGATTTCCTGCAAGGAAAGAGCAGAGCCCAATCTCCCCCCACATCAAGTCCCCTATTTCGTTAAATATTTTCTAACTGAAAAAAGAAATCTGGGCACATTACAGAAAATTTGGAGATGACAGAAAGTAAAGCACTTGCCTAGTCCTCCCTCCCTCCCTCGCCCAGCCTGTGCTCCGAGTCCAAGTCTTCCCTCCTGGGCTTCCTTGCTGAGCATATTTCCATGTAGTTCTATTCATAGTCTGTGCTGGGGATTTTGCTTTTCCCCATATTTGGGACTCTTTCCTTAGGAAAGATTCATTCATTTTTTCAATCAACAAACGTTTGCTGGAAAATCCCAGAGGTGGGAGATGGAGTCGGGTGATGGGGCCTTCTCAGTTTTGTTCTTTTTTTTTTTTTATAATTTTATTTATTTATTTATTTTTCCCCCCAAAGCCCCAGTAGATAGTTGTATGTCATAGCTGCACATCTTTCTAGTTGCTGTATGTGGGATGCCACCTCAGCATGGCCAGAGAAGCGGTGCGTTGGTGCGCGCCTGGGGTCCGAACCCCGGCCGCCAGTAGCAGAGCGCGTGCTCTTAACCGCTAAGCCACGGGGCTGGCCCTCAGTTTTGTTCTAATTTGTTTTTTTCTGAGGGTGACAGTAATCTTTGCAGACTTTTAAAGGCCCCTGGACACACCACTGCCCTTCTCTCCCATGGCCTCTTCTCTGTGAGGTTCAGTGCCTGTGGGCTCCTATGCACCTTTGTGTTGCAGGTGCACACCTAGTGCAGGGGACCTCGGCACGCGTGTCCCCTGACCTGTGACTCTGCTCCGCAGCCCTTACCACGCCCTGCTGCTGCTCAGTGACGAGAAGGCCCTACTGGGCGAGCTCCCGCTAGACTGCTCTCCGGCCCTGGTGCGCGTGATCAAGACCACGTCTGCTGTGAAGAACCTGCAGCAGCTGGCCCAGGATGCAGACCTGGCCTTGCTGCAGGTATTGCCCTGGGGCCTGGGGAGACATCCTGGTTGGGAAGGATGGGAGGGAGGGGCTGGGGGCATCAAAGCAGGCGACCCTTGGGTGAAGGTGGGAGATACGGGAGCGTCAGGAAAGCAGGCCACCTGGGTGCTGAGCCACTGCACAGCCTGCCACGGTGACAGGTGGTTCTGGGGTTGGCTTGAGGTCCTGCAATCTGAGTCAGACCTGGGTTCGGGGCTTGCTTGTCGGTGCACTAGCCACGAGACTGACTTCCTCCTCTGTGTTGAGAGGTGGTAAAGCTGCAGCAGAGAGGAGTGAGGCTGTCCCGGTGCTGGGGGACTGGCCTCTGGAGGACGAGGTGCCAGGACTCGGGGGCTTGAAGGGTTGAAGCAGGGGCATGCAAGGTGTTGCCACGTGAGAAAGCAGTACTACCGAGCCACTGGGCCGATGTGGGAAGTGAGGGCAGGAAGCCCAGACGCGGGCCCACCCATGTGCAGAGCCGGGACCTAACCTGGTGGCCTCAGCCACCCCGTGTGTGAGTGAGGGTGTGTGCGCGTGCGGGCCTGTGTTCTATGTGAGGTGCCACCCCTGCCCCCGCCAAGCCATGTGCTTGTTGGCAGCCCTTTCTGATATGGAGGGTCCCTCAGCCCTGGCCATGGATCTGGTTGGAGGCTGGGGTGGGGGAGGGGGTGAGGAAAAGCACTGGGAGAAGTTGGAGGCCCGGGGCAGGGACACCTTCCGAGTGACAGCCTGAGGGTGGGACCCAGGGTCTGGTGACAGTGGGCACCATGTGGCCACCAGGGGGCAGCAGGGCCTGACCCAGGGACCTGCGGTTCCTGCAAAGGCCACAGCTTTCTCAGGCCAGGCTGAGGAAGAGGAGCACAGGCGTGAGGCAGGCCTGCTGGCCCTACGAGGCACGTCTAGGGGAGATTATCCCACAAGGCCTCACTCTCAGGCCGCTATTTCCCAAAGCAGTGTTTTTGGATGCTGTCATCCAGAATAAGTCCTTCCCTTGTCTGTACCCAGTGACCTTTGTCCACCCCCAGTGAGAGTATTTATCGGATTCTGCCTTGGTGTTTTGTTTGTCCCTGGGCTGGACCAGACCCAATGAGGACCATGTCTTCTCACCTTCATATTATCCGCAAGCACAGAACCTTAAACATGCTTTCCATTCCCTGTGTAGAGTTGCTGTTCTGACAGGTACTGGCCAAATGGCAGACACCTGTGTGTGTCTGCAGCTCCATTTCAAGCTTTGAAAGGGGCTGGCGCCTCACTGCTGTCCACTGAGGCTGCCCAATGTGGAGTCTCTCTGGATGCTGTGCCTTAGCCTTGCTGTCAGTCTCCTGGGACAAAGACAAAGCTTTGATGATGTCCCCTTCGCGTCCCTGCCCTGGCCTTGCTCTGGGGACACTTGTCATTTCCTTCCATACTCCTCCCCACTGAACCCAGCACATCAGGGCTTGCTGCTGGCGTTGTCATGCGGAAGCCCCCTGGGGCCCAGCCCAGCTGGCAGACCTCACCAACCTCTGAGACTGATGGCCCAGTGGAGGCCCTATGGGGAGCAGAGGCCAGCTGAGCCCAGCTGGAGCCTCAAGCACAGATGGCCCCACTGGGGAGGGAGTGTCAGCTTCAGGTGTGAATGTCAACAGATGATTTAAAATCACTCATGTTCCATCCCAGGCGAAGAGGATCTATAAGTATTTTTTTGGGTTTTTTTGTCGTGATAAAGTTAATATGTTCTTTCTTATAAAAATTCAAATATCACATAAATTATAGACGCAAAAAGAGAAAATCCCCACAATTCCATATCCCAGAGGTGACCACTGTAGAGTCCTCCAGACTTTTTCTAAATATATATTAACACATTATCTTTGAACAACAAAATTAGGATCATACTGTCCATTGCTCATGATTGGCTGAACAGTGGCCGCATGGACCGCCACATCCTAATCCCCAGGACCTGTGAATGTGACCTCCTGTGGGACTTTGCAGATGTGATTAAGGATCTTGAGATGGGTGATGATCCTGGATGATCTGGGTGGGTGCGGTGTTGTCACAGGGGCCCTTGTAAGAGGGAGGGAGGCAGAGGGAGGTTTGACTGCAGAAGGGGAGGAGGGGATGTGACTGTGGTGGCAGAGATTGCAGTGATGTGGCCCCATGCTGAGGAACGCTGCAGCTCGCGGTGGCAAAGAACAGATTCTCCCCTTGAGTCTCCGGGGAGAGCGGCCTGCTGACGCCTGGACTCCAGCCATGTGATATCGACTTCAGACTCCTGGCCCCCAGAATGGCAGTCTGGCTACAGGGAGAGGTGGGAGATGGAGACCACTGGGTGAGGGTGTGGCAGAGGTGGAGGAAAGTAGGCGTGTCCTTGCTTTGGAGTGAATGTCCATGGGACTTGGGATGAGAGAGAAGAGGGTCACCGATGGACCTGCAGTCTCCGCCATGGTCAAGTTGGTGCCACTGAGATGCCACCTGCCAAGATATAGAGGGTCCTCAGCAGTGTGCAGGCGTTGTGTGCAGGTGGGGGTGGCTCACCCCCTTGGAGGCACTCAGTGATGGTGAATGGGGGCAGTAGGCCCACCTGAGGTGATGCAGAGTCAGAAACGCCTGGTGCCTATCCCTGAGTGCCACCCGCAGGGCCGTGTCCTCAGACCTGGCCCCCTCCTCTCGAGGTTAGAAGGATTTCTGACGTCTTGGTCTGTCTGTGGCCTGTCTTGATGTCTGAGAGCCCAGGAGAACAGGGTAGTGAGATGTTCTCCAGGGAAGCTGGAATACACAGAGACAAATGCGTGGGGTAGGGGGCAGGTTCAGCGACCCCGCATCCATTGTCACGTGGTAACCCGTCTCCACGCTGGGCCATGGGGAGAGTAGGGGGACGGTCTCTGCCAGGGTGTCCAACCAAGCCCCTTTTTCAGCTGAGCTGACCCCGTGGTCCTGGGTGCCCCGCATGTCCCCGTGCTTGTGGGACCGTCCCTCAGTGCCAACCAGGACAGCCCCTAATGGGAGACAGTTGCAAACCACACAGGGACCAGTGATAAAAAGGCTTGTCGCTCCGAGCTCAGAAAATGCTGTGTTGTGCTGGCCTGTGCCCAGTGCCCTGGTGGAGGCTGGGGAGTCAGCCTCCCAGGCAGTGTCCTCCAGCCCCTCTGCCTACAGGTTTTCCAGCTTGCGGCTCACCTGGTGTACTGGGGCAAGGCCATCATCATCTACCCGCTGTGTGAGAACAACGTCTACATGCTTTCTCCCAATGCCAGCGTGTGTCTGTGAGTTCCTCTGGCTGCCCGAGCCCAGGGCCCGAGTGGGAAGGGGGTGTGTCTGCAGGGCCTTCCAGGTGGTGCTCCCGGGTTAGCCGGGCCCTCACTCTGACCCAATACCCAGCCTCTGCTGTGCCAGCCTCCAATTCTGGCCTGGTCCAGCACTGTGTGGGCCTGTCCGGGCCCGTGCTCCTCTGGCACGAGCCTCCAGGAAAGGTCTGCATCTGCGCATGTCTGCTGGACAGTGGGCTCTGGACGGGGTGCCTGGCGGGAGATTGGGAGCCTTGGCTTTGACTCGGGGCTCAGAGGGGCTGTGGGGTGGCCTGTGCCCATGGCTTCTGCCGCCCCTCAAGGGAAAGCACCTGGGCTCTGTTCTCATTGTACCATCCTGGCCCTCCCACCATGCTGTGCTTCCCTGCTGCCTCCCACAGGCTGGTGGTGAGGGCACGGATGCCATGAAACACGATGGGGGGTCTGCGAAACTCAGGGACACACTCCCCTCACCTGTCCCCAGGTACTCTCCGCTGGCTGAGCAGTTCTCCCGCCAGTTTCCGTCTCACGACCTGCCATCTGTCCTTGCCAAGTTCTCCTTGCCCGTCTCCTTGTCAGAATTTAGGAACCCCCTCGGCCCCCCTGTGCAGGAGGTGAGTCGCAGGAACTCGATGAGCCCAGGAACCACTCACCTGGCGCAGGTGCCTGATCCAAAGGCCCTCAGTGCTGCCGTACCCTTAGCCTGGGTTGGGGGGCGGGGGGTCTGGCTGTGTAGATGGTACATGCCCTACCAGGGTGACTAAAAGCTGGCTCCCCAGCCAGGCCACTTGGCCAGCAACTTAATGTTTGGGCATTCCCAAGTCCCCCCAACCTCCCCACCCCTCTGTGGAGCCCACCTTGGTTGTGGTGGGTGGTTCTTAGGGTTAGAACCAAGTTAAGAGGCCCAGTTGGCAGGACAGCACTGACCTTTCCTGGGAGGACAGAGCCCCCTTCTGGGCCTGGCCTCCCACCAATGGAGGACGCAGAGGCAGCTTTGTTTTCACTAAGCCTGGGCCCTGCCCTCCCACTCCCTCCCCCGCTGTGGTCCAGGTGGCTGCAGGGTCTGTGGGTGTGAGTCTTGGGCTCCCTGGTCCTCAGAACCTCCTTATCCAAGAGGACCTGGAGAGGACAGGTCTGGGACAGGCCCCACCCAGTGGGTCTGGGTCAGGACAAGGGGCAGGCGGAGGTGCTGGGTGTGGCGGGGGGGCCTCTGGAGAGGCGTGAGGCATGTGCAATGAACTGGTGAGTTTTGCGTCCGTCTGTGGCAGCGTCGAGTCTGGCTTGGATACGAGGAGGAGGCTTTGCCCTCTCCCCTCCACTGAATGCCTGGAGCTCTGGGCAGGAACCCAGGTAGGGCCAGATGGGACAGGTGTTGGAGATGGGGCTGGGTGTTCTCAAGGCTTTGTCTTCAGAAGTAAAGCGTTTGCTTTAACAAGTGCCAGATCTGTTAGGCAAAACCAGGCCTTAAAAGCAAACCCTTTCCCTTCTCAAATTGTGAATGAGAAGGAGGTCCTGGTTCTTCACTTCATTTAGATGCTGAGTGTGACAGAGTTCTAAATGCCGTCTTTCATGGAGTCCTTGGTTTCCAGGAACCGTGCCAGGTCATGCCAGATGAATAAAAGACACACTTTGCATCTGCACCCTCCCCCTACCCCCCAGCAGAAACTTCCTGAGGGTCTGGATGGCGGGTGGATTTTCCAGGCCACGCCTGAGGGGCCAACTCGTGCCTTGTCAGGGGACCCAGATGGAGCCGAGTTTGGTTCTGCAGTCCTGGGGTGAGGCTGCTCGCCTCTCATGCCTCCTGCTTCAGGCTCAGAATGTGCTCTTGAGTGCTTATGAAGCCTCTTTTATTTCTTAATTTAATTTTAATTATTTTACAATCATTTTCAATTTTTTTAGGTTTGACCAGGTCATACATGCCCATGGTACACCCCTATATCCATGTCTGGTCAGCCAGCCCCTCCCAGGAGGGGACCCCCAAGGACGAGCAGGCAGATGTGTCTGAGCACGCGGACCCCATCCGCACGCACCCTCCTGCTCGCCAGTGCTCTTGTTCCTCTCGTACAGGGCTCCTCACTGCTCCTGGTCAGGTGACAGCCCCACAGGAGACAGGTGGGCTCATGCCCTAGGGGCTGTATACCTCACAGGGGTCCCTGTCCCAGGCCATGCTTTCAAGGTGACCCAAGGAGAGGACTATCTGTTCTCAGGGCAGTTGCCCACAGCCGGTTTCTGAACAGTGTCCAGGCCACAGGGAGGGGGTCCCCACGGACCCAGCTCTGTGGTGGTGGGGCCTGAGCAGCAGGGCCTGGTGGGCTGGGGAGATGTGGGAGAGCAGGGGTGGCTCAGAGCAGGAGGGCACGGGGGCCTCCACGTCACAGGTCCTGCTCCTCGGCTCTGGGCAAGAAAGGCCAGGTGCTGGGGCAGCCCAGGTGTGTGGTAGGGGCAGTGCAGGTATGGCTCTGGTGCTGTTCTGGCCCATCTGCATTCCCTGGGAGGGGGGCTTGCAGAGCCACCAGCATCTGGGAGCTGGAGCTCATGGCTCCCTGTGCTCCAGGGTGACTGTGGGGCTGTGTCTTAGGCCGTGGCTCCCTGGTTCTCTCGGGGAGGGGCCAGGGTGGTGGGGATCAGCCTCCCTGCCCTGTGCCTCACAATGCCCGTCCCACAGACCCAGCTCATCCAGATGGTGGTGTGGATGCTGCAGCGCCGGCTCCTTGTCCAGCTGCACACCTATGTCTGCCTGATGGCCTCACCTGGCGAGGACGAGCCCCGCCCTTGGGAGGACGACGTCCCCTTCACCACCAGGGTTGGCGGCCGCAGCCTCAGCACACCCAACGCCCTCAGCTTTGGTTCCCCAAGTAGGAGCCCCCTGCCTGGGGCATCTGTCTGGTGGTGGGGGGAGCCCTGGGGAGCACTTTGGAGTGGCGGCCAGGAGGCCCAACAAGGGCACTGCTGGGAATGACCGAGGCACCTTCACATGGCCACACACCTGCCCTTACGTGGGCACCTGGGGCCTGGAGCAGACAGCCACCGTCCCCTGCTGAGCAGCTCTCCCTTGAATGAGGCTGGAGACCCCTCTCCCCTGCCTCCTTGCACCTTGTGGTTCTGAGGAGGCTGTACCTCTTGCTCGAGTCATCACCAGCCTGGGGTCAGAGCAGATTTCACACCAGCACTGGGAGGAGCTGAAACTTCACTCTTTGTCCCAGGGCCTATGAGGAGACAGTGACTGTCATAGTCCCTTCTTGAAAGAGCCAGGGTGGCCACAGCATGCCCCCAAAGGCAGCAGCCCACCAGGCCCCAAGTCCCTGGGCTTGGGGAAGACAAGAGAGTGGAAAGCTTTGGGGTGGCACCTCCCTGGGCTGAGGGCTGGCCTTGGGCTTCAGGCTCAGTGCGAGGACTCGGCCTGCCCCAGGCTCTCCGTTGTCCATGTTGGGTGGGAGGCGTAGGATGACGGGGGTGCTGGCTGCTCCTTGACCCACACCCACCCGCAGCCAGCAGTGACGACATGACCCTCACTAGCCCCAGCATGGACAACTCCAGTGCAGAGCTGCTCCCCAGTGGGGACTCACCGCTGAACAAGAGGATGACAGAGAACCTGCTGGCTAGCCTGTCGGAGCACGAGCGGGCGGCCATCCTCAGTGTGCCCGCAGCCCAGAACCCAGAGGACCTCCGCATGTTTGCCAGGTGGGGCCAGTTCCAGGGTCAGGACGAAAAGAGATGGGGAGGTACCCAACACAACCCCAACTTAAATCCATTGACAACAATGGCACTCACTGGTTGAGGTGGTCTCAAGCACTTAGTGTCCCCACCGGTGCTGGTGTGTGCCAGGCGTGGGCAGCCATTTCTCCAGTGCTTCCTGGGTGTTTCCTGTCACTTCTTAGGAAGCAGCAGCAAGTTCTCATTCTCATGGGGCTCGGCAGGGATTTTCCCCAGGACTCTTAGCCTGGGGGTGAGGGGGGTCCAGGACCCCCACGTCGTAGGTGACACAGACTTTGTCACACCCACCCCTGATTTGAGGGCACTGTAGGTGTCTGGTTCTCTGGGAGAGGTCAGGTTGTCAGGGACGAAGCCCCCAGGTAAGACCACACGCCAGGCACTCTTTCCAGCAGCTGTGCAGGCCTCCACTGTGCCAGCTCCAGCCAAGACACCCCTGGAGCAGTGACCCATTTGGATCCAGAGCCACATGGGACTCGCTGCCACAGGAGCACGAACAGGAGAATCTTCTGGCAGACCTGTCCCCCTGTGCTGCCCTCACCCACGTCAGGATGCTGAGAGTGGTGTGACCCCAGGCTTGGGTGGCTCTAGGGTTTGAGCAGCCATGTGTCCTCATGGATCCACTTCAAGGGCCCATGGTGGGCAGTGGGTCCAGGACACTCACCTGCCCATGTGGGGGGGTGTGGGCGGTGGCCTCCCTGGCCCTCCAAGAGGCCCCACCAACTCCGCTGAGGCCTGTGGGTGCTCAGCACTGAGCTAACCAATGGCTGCTAGGACAGAGGCCAGCCTGGGCTCATGCACCCCTCCCCTCCAGGCTCCTGCACTACTTCCGCGGCCGCCACCACTTGGAGGAGATAATGTACAACGAGAACACGCGACGCTCCCAGCTGCTCATGCTCTTTGACAAGTTCCGCAGTGTGCTGGTGGTGACCACCCATGAGGACCCGGTCATCGCCGTCTTCCAGGCACTGCTCATGTGAGCCTGGGCCGAGGATGCAGAGGCAGGCTGCTGCAGTGGGTGGGAGCGCTGGCCTCTGCCCAGCCTAGGGCCCTCTTAGCGCTGCGGCCCAACTACACAGTTCAGCCCAGTTTCAGCAACAGCTGAGGGGCCACTGCCCTCTGCCTTCTCGAAACTCTTGTCTAGTCCTCGAAACAGCCTCAGTGTCTCTGAGCTGAGAAGGTGAGGCCCCGAACTGGAGGGCGCATCTGGGACTCATGCCTCTGAGTGAGGCCTGCATGCTTCCCACAGACAAATTTGGGTCACGGCTTTTTCTCAGACCTTCCTCCTGACCCTGCCCGTGTTCGGTGGGCCCCCACTGCTGCCCTGCTTGCAGCCACCCTGGAGAATGTGCAGAAACGCGTCTGACCCATCCATCCTTCCACTGGCTGTCAGAAGTATGAGGTCGCAGTGCCTGGCCCGTCCTGTGTGGTCCAGCACTGCTTCTGTCCCTGTGCACCCTGTTGTTCCAGCTTTCCGTGTGCCTTTCCTGGCCTGGCTCTCTCCACTGTCCTGTGTTAGTCACCAGGAGGCTCATGGCCAAGCTGTTACCTCCTCTTTGCTACCTGAGGTGTCAGGGCCTGGGTTGATCCCACATCCTGCCGTGGTGGAGGGACCTCCGCCCTGAGGGCCTGGCGAGCGTGCTTCCTCGGCTCCCCATCAGGCGTGTCTGCACCAGTGCGCTTGGTCCTCTCTCCCGGGGGCTGGGTCAGGCCTGAGGAAGAACAGTCCATGCTGGGCCTGGCTCTCTGGACACCTGCTGCACACAAGGTCCCCACCATCCCATCCTGAAGGAAGAGCTGACTGCAGACACATGCTGACCACTGAACAGGGCTCTGCCTGAGACAGGCAACACTATTTTCTAGAAAGGAAGCATTTATTTGGTTTTTAAACAATTAAAAAGCTTTGTCTGAGTAGGCCCTTACTCAGGCCTGCATGTTCCGCTCGGCTGCTCTGTTGACCACGCTGACCCAGGGGCTCCCCTGGATGTAGAAGCGCAGGGGTTTCTGGGCCCACTCGCCTGCGTGGCCAATGCCCACTCGGGCTGCTGCCACCACAGCTGGCTCACTGGACCCCGGGGGGCCACGCTCCAGCCACACAGCCTTGTCCTTGGCCAGGTCCCGCTGGTCAAAGCTCCTGTCGATGGCCAGGGCCTGGCACAGCTTGGAGGGGCCACTGCAGAGCTCACGGTCTTTGAGGGCCCGGCTGGCAGCACCTTTCCGGAGGGTGCTGCGAAGCTGCCGCATGGTCTCCAGGCCCCCCAGGGGCTCTAGCGCTCGCAGCAGGACGCACGCCCCATCCCCTGTGGGTCAGAAGGACAGCCTGGAAGGGGAGCCCACCCTCCCAACTCCCAGGCGGGACCCTGAGCACACCTGCAGTCACTCACTGTGCCTGCCTCCCCCTCCTGCACGCCTGCACCCGCGAGGTGCCGGTGCCTCTGGCGCCGCCACCAGGCGGGGCCTCCCTGCGACACCAGAAGGCCTGACTCCTAGCTGGGGAGAACCTGTAAAAACGCACGTCCTTGTAGTTGGCCTCCCCTGGGCTTCCTCTGGTTTGGTGATTGGCAGCAGCGGTGAGGCCAGTAAAGGAAACCCCAGAGAGCCGGTCCTTCCTGGGCATGGTCACCCCACCAGGAAGCAGGAAGCCTCAGGCCTGGCCCAGATCCCTGCCAGGCCCCAGAATCGCCCCGCCCCCCACCCCTGGAATCTATGTCAGACAAGCCAGAAGGTTGGCTCAGAGCAGCCAGTGTGTGCACAGGACACTGGGTGAGCCCCAGCCCTGACCCAGTGGAGAGACTAATGGCAGGAGGAGGTGCCCACACAGCCCCCCTCACCCGCCCTGGGATCCCGTCCAGGCCACTTCAGAGGCCACAAATGGCAAACTGACACCCTGGGATGCCCCTCAGACTCCTGGCTGGGGACAGTGGTTACCTGGACCCTGGACAGAAGAGCCCTGACCCCAGCAAGGCCACTCTCCTGGGACACTTGCTCTCCCACCTCACTCGGCCCGTCCCGCCACCTGGGAGTCTGCGAGGCTTAGCCTGAGGGTGGCCAGGCCAGTCCCTGCTCTTGGGCCTCGGCCACATGGGCCACCCGTCGGCACCCAAGAGCTGGCCCTGAGTGGACACAGCAGCCACGCTCTCCTGCACAGCCAGTAGCCAGCCAGCGTGGGGGGGTGTTCTGACCAGATGCACCTTAGCTAGTTTTCAAAGGACCTCAAGATATACTCAATAGCAAGGAAAGCGCTGAAGTTCCATTCCTTCTGACTCCTGGTTCCCTCCCAGCCCACCAGCCTTGGGGCTCCCCTGGGTCCACCCCAAGCTCTTGTGGGGGGGACACATGCCCCTGTCTCCCTGAGCCCCCAGAGCCACCTGCAGATGGGTCGAAGGAGCAGCCTACCCGCTTCTGCACCAACCCTGTCTCCTGGAATGCATCTGAGCCCCACATCCTGACAAAAGCACAGCACCGCAACTCTTCCCACCAAGTCTCCATGCCCTCACTCCCACTCCTCTGCCTGCACCAGCTGTTTGGCCTTGGCGATCTGACCTACCTCCTCTCGGGCATCTCTGTGCCACCTCTACTTGCAGGCAGGCAGGCAAGGACCATGTCCCCGGCCTCCTCTCCCCCTCATTCCACCTGGGTGACCCTTGGCTCTGACTGTCTGCACCCATGTGGTTTCCTGCCCCCCTGACCTGGATGTTCCTGGGGCATCTTGGCCACATGTCCAGAAAATAACACACCACCTGCTACATCTGCCCTGTCCCCTGTCCCTCAGAAACACTGGGCTCCTCCCCTTCCTCACCGACCACAGCTCGAGCATCTCTGACTCCCAGTCTCTCTCCTTGTCTGAGTTCAGGCCCACTTCACGTGAGGGGGCTGGTTCCAAAGAAAAGCTCAAGGACCAAAATGAGCTCTCAGGGATTAACAGGCCCTCTGGGGTAGTCCCACCATCCTCTGATGTCCGATCACTCAGTTTCACTCAACACCTGCTTTGTGCTGGGCACAGGGCCAGTTGTGGGTTCCCTGCGTCCTCTAGCCCCTGCAGCTCTGGCACTGGACATCCCCAGCTGTCCACTCTGGGCAACAACAACTCCCACGTCACTGGAATCACTCAACAACTGTGTGTGACCTACAGCATACCAGGTCCCGAGACCCTTACTGGTCTCCTCAAGCATTCGCTCCTCTTGGGACAGGTGGTGGGGCGGCTCAGCAGACAGACACTGGGACTGGCTAGCCAGAGTGGGCCGGGCAGACCCTGCTCCAGAGAGCAGTGGCTCTGACAGGACGGTGCTGGAGGCTCTTCCTTCTGAGCACAGACCACCCAGAAAACAGAGCTCCCTGCTCACAAAGGAGAGAGGCTGCCCCAGAGCAGGTCCCAGGAGGTGAGTGGGTTCTCCCAGGAGCATTCATTCATTCATTCATTCATTTATTTATGTGTGAGGAAGACCAGCCCTGAACTAACAACCGTGCCCATCTTCCTCTACTTTATATGGGACGCCGCCACAACATGGCGTGACAAGCAGTGCGTCGGTGCGTGCCTGGATCCGAACCTGCGAATCCCGGGCCGCCGAAGTGGAGCGTGCACACTTAACCGCTTGCGCCACCGGGCCGGCCCCCACAGGATCTCTAGACCAGCGTCTCCCTACTCGGCACTATTGACATTTGGGGGCCGGGTGATTCTCTGTGGGGGCCCCTCCTGCGCACTGTGAGCTGTTCAGCAACATCCTTGGCCACCTCCACCCACTGGATGCCATAGCATCCCACCAGCTGTGATGACCAAAAACATCTCCAGGCATTGCCTAGTGGTCCCCCAGGGTGGCAGCATCATCCCTGGTTGAGAACAACAGATCCAGACCCCATAGCCGGCTGCCTGGCCACTCCTGCCTGAGCCCAGCCCTACCAAAATCAATCTCACCCTCATTTCCCCACAACCATCCCCTCCCGGGTCTGCCCTGAGCCACCGGGGACACCAGGTCCGAGCTCTGGCGCCAGCAGTGGCCTCATGGAACCTGTCTGCTCTGTGTTCAGGTCAACTCATGACCTCTATTCTGTGGGGGCCGCTGGCCCCTCTAACCAACCTGTCAGTGAAGCCACAGCTCCTGAAAGCTCTTGAAAGACAGCCTACCAATGGTACCTCCTTGCTCAAACGCCTGCCCCATCCTGGTCCTCTCAGGGGTCTCCCAGCTGCCAGCTGAGGGGGCTCTGCCCAGGCCTCCTGCTGCCCCAACCTCAGCGCCCAGCACCACTCACCTCGGCTAGAGACATTCATGCAGAAGTACATGCCGTAGATGAGGTACACATACAGGGTCCCTGGCTCCATGAACATGCTGCGGTTGCGGGGGGTCTGCCGGCCACCCCTCGAGTGGGCAGCTTCATCCTCTGGCCCCAAGTACGCCTCAGTCTCCACGATGCGGCCGCGGAGCTCTGTGCCATCGTCGAGTCGCCGGACCAAGACCTGCGGGCAGTCTCCACTCAGGGCAGGAAGGGACAGAGGTCCACCCCACCCTGACAGTACACAGTCTGGACCTCATCTCCCCAGCTCATGACCCATCAGGGGGCCCAGGTCCCACCAGGTCCCCACCAATGTCCCCTCCATCCTTCTGGACCACAGGCCATGCTCACTAAGTGTCCTGTCCACAGGTGGCAGCCATCTCAAGCTCTGGCTAGGGCTGGGCTGGAAACCAGCAGTAGTGAATTTACACACTTCAAGTCCTCTTGGCAGGGCCCTCCAACCCCCTGCCGCCTCCTCCCCAAGTGCCCCTGGACTTAAATGCTTAGCCTGGGGCAGAGCAGTGTGGAGGGCACAGGTCTCAAAGGTGTTCCCACATGGCTGCCTGGGACACTCCAGAGCCTGTGGACTCTCCCCCTGGACTAATCACAAAGGACTGTCACACTCAGCTCCCGCCCACTCGACTCTGAACGGCCTTGCTAAGCAGCAGGACCGGCTGCCCCACAGTGCCCCAGGCCTGGACCACAGCCCTGGGGGTAGCCAGCTCCACAGGAGTGGGTCAGTGTGGGCAGTGGGCCAGGGAGACAAGACTGGCTACGGTTGGCTCGGACAGCACCCTGGGCTGGGGTGGGGCCAGAGGGGCTGGCCAAGGACAGGGCAGAGGGTGGGCGTTCTCAGGTCAGCAGAACACCTAGGAGAGCAGCCCAGGCCACGGGGGAGCCAGGGAGGGCCCGTGGAGTGCTGAGTGTGCCGGGCATCGAGGCCTCCCCAGCCTGGAGCCTTTCTGTGCCATGGTGTTGACCATTTCTTGGCCGTGTGGCACAGTATGACCCTGAAAATGGCCAGCAGTCATGCCCAATGTCCGGAGCCCTAGGCCTGACTCAACCAGGGTTCACAGTGGAGCTTCAGGGGCCAGCCGCCTCACCATGGACGTCCCCAGCACCTGCCTTGTCCTCAGGCCAGAGCAATCAGTGGGATGGCCAAGCCACCCCTGCCTCACTGCAGGGAGCCCAATGTGTCCGTGGCCAGGGCAGTGTCAGGGGACGGGGTGGGTGGAGCCTGGACACTCAGTGGGACAGCACTGGAGGATGCCTTTCTGGAGACACGGTGGAGGAAAGAGGGGGTTGATGCCTCCCCCGGAAGCCCAGAAATCCCTTTGTGCATCCACATGTTGGGCTTGGCCAGACCATCTTGGAGCGAGAAAGGGCAGCCCCGTTCCATCTCAGACAAGGCCTCACTTTCATCCTTCCAGGAGATCAGAGGCAGCGCTCCTCCATTAGCTTCCTTCTGCATGTTTCCAGCTCCGTGAGGCCTGTGGGGGCCCAGCTGCCCTTCTAGAGAGGAGTTTCCACGGCCCTTCCGTCACTGTCTTCCTCTCCATTCGGTTTTCCACTCTGACATCATTTCCAGAGAGCAGATGCTGGTTCCCCCCACCCTCGTTACAAACACATCTCCCCCTTGCTGGTGGGGGTTCTGGGGGAGGCAACACCTTCTCAGCCAAGCAGGTGACTCGAGTGGTCTGGGTTGTCATGGCAACTCACTGCTCCTTGCAGTGACCTGTTTAGGGACAAGTGCGTGACCCAAGCCTGGCCAAAGGTCTGCAAGGACGTCTACCAGGAGGTCATGAAGAAGGCGGTCCCCTGACCACAGGGACACACACGGTGAAACACTCCCTTCTCTGCTGCCTACTGCCCCGGCCACCACTGGGCTCAAGCGGGTGTGACGGGAGCCTGGGGGAGGCTGCCACAGGCTAAGCCCTCGGGCCCCTGACCTGGTGCTGGGACTCACCTGCCCACACGCCGTTTTCCGGGCGATCATAAACCTTCGTTATTTAAGGTGCTTTTAGAAAGATCTTCTGAGGGGCCGGCCCTGTGGCTTGGTGGTTAAGTGCGCGTGCTGCGATGCTGGCGGCCCGGGTTCGGATCCCGGGTGCGCATCGAGGCACCACTTCTCTGTCCAGCCTGAGGCCGAGTCCCACATACAGCAACTAGAAGGGTGTGCAGCTGTGACATACAACTATCTACTGGGGCTTTGGGGGGAGCAAAAAATAAATAAAATCTTTAAAAAAAAAAAAAAAAAAAAGAAAGATCTTCTGGCCCTCGCAGCTGAAAGCACCCGCATGGAAACAGAATCTGGTCCCTTCTCCACTAGCACACATTTTAGGATCTGTTCTTTTCAGCACCCAACTCCAGGCACCAATTTTTCTACTAGTCACAGAAACCGATTCTCCTTGGCCATTTTAACCCAAAGGCAGGCTCATTAAAGGACACAGGGTAGGCCACGGAACCTCGAGGACCAGAAAGCCAGGCCTGGAGTTTGGCACCCAGATGGTGCTCCAGACAGACGTGGCCCAAACTCGCTGCTGCCAGCACAGCCGACCTGCACTCTGCAGGGTGACAGCCCCCACCCCTCCCAACCCCCCCGAGCCCTGGGCAGTCCCTGATCCCCACTCCAGGTCCTGGACCTGCACTGAGCTGCAGGGGCCACTGGGAAGCCAGCACGGACACTGCAAGCTACTGCGATGAGGAGGCTGTCTCAAGGTGGCCCTGGTGCTGGGCAGCCCATGGGCCGTGGCCCCAGCTCTCACGTGTCTGAAAGCTGTCACTACTACACACAGGGGCAAGCTCCAGCAGGGCCACTGATGGGGTCGGGGTCGGGGCACGCAAAGGCAGCCCCTCACAGACCCCAGGGACCAGTACTGACCATGGTCCTTGTAAGAAAGCTGCCCGAGGGTGATCCCAGGTGGAGCAGGGACAGTGTTCCAGTGTCCCTGGTGGAGGCGGCTAATGTTGCAGCTCTCCTGTCCTCAGGGCCCGGGGCAGGCAGGCAGACAGTGGCTCCCCTGCCTCTACCTGGGGCAGGCCCCACCAACAACCCCAGCATTCTCCCCAGCTGACCCCAGGTGCACCCCCTGCCCAGACAGCTGAGGGGAAGCTATCCAGGGACGAGTGTGGCCAGGTCAGGGATGTGAGCCCAGCGGTGAAACGGCTGGGCGACAGACGCTGCACTGCGATGACCACTCGCTATGTTCATATTACCTGTCCCAGAAATGCCCTGGCCAGGGGGACTGCAGGCTGGTCGAAAAACTCGGATCCCAGTCGAGCAGGGCGGCTGTTTGGGCTTGAGAAGTAGATACTGCGCTGGGGGCCCAGGGTCACAGGCAGCCCCACATGGGGCTCTGTGGGGGAAGGCGTCCAGGCTCCATCTGGGGGGCTCTGATGCCGCTCTGCCTCCAACAGCCGCTGCCTTTTTTGCCCCAATCTGCGGGAAAGCTGTAATGGGAATGGACAAATGGTTATGTGGTGAGGTCAGACTCATGGAGCTCACGGACTGCATTTCCTCACCTGCAAAATGGGGGCAACCACTTCATGGGCTGTTACAAGGTGCACAGAGAATGCCCTACCTAATGTGCTCAGCCCCATGCTGGGTCCCAGGAGGCCTCGGGAAATGAGTGCACGTGAGGACAGGCTGGAGGCAGCAGTGACAGGGTGGCCACTCTGCTCTCCTGTCCTCAGGGCCCGGGGCAGGCAGGCAGACAGTGGCTCCCCTGCCTCTACCTGAGGCAGGCCCTCCACACTTGGGAGATGCACAGCTGGGTGGCAAACGGCTGTAGGGCCCGGGGAAGGGACAGTGGGCACCCAAGCCTGGGACAGGAAGGCTGGTACCCTCTGATTCACACTCAGCACGTGGACCCCAAATGAACTTCTGAGCTTGTTTCTGGAACTCTGCCCTTGGCACCTGACCCTAATCAGGAATTTAAAAACACAGCTGTGACCTCCATGGGGCCTGGCTGAGGAATGGATTGTGGGTTGGTGTGTCATCCACACCCCTCCCCCACCACCTGCTGACATTTGCCAGATCCCTCCCCAGAATGGCCCAGAAGGCCTGACACACACAGGTGGATCAGGACCAGGTGACCGTCTGCCTGGTTCCACTCCAAGCGCACAGAGCAGGACCCCTAGTGAGTCCCCAAATGTCCTGTGCCTCATGACCCAGGATGTCACTGTGATAAGAAGCAAGTGGGCCAAAGGCGAGGTCTCCAGACGGAGGAGGATCTGCTGAGATCCGGCACATGGTCTGCCTCCCACCTGCCACCACATGGCCTGTCAGCCTGACCACACACCCTCGGCTGTGCTGGGACCAGCTGCTCTCCAATGAGCAGCAAGATGAGGGGAGCAGGGGGGCATGGGGGCCTGGAAACACTCTCTTCGAGGGCCAATCTTCAGCAGGACCCACGTCTCCCTGGCATGTGACAGATCCATTATTTTTAACGTAACTGCTCATGTTCCATGTTGAATGGAGAACGCCAGGTTGCTGAGAACCAACCTGCCTCAGAAGACTTCATGTGACAGTGACGCAGCCTGTCTGGCCCGGGGGCTGAGGAACGGGGTGACCCTGCTGTTGCACCCAGGTGTGGGTGCTGCCTCAAACACACACCTGGCGCCTCCCACCATCCCCTGGCCCTGCCTGGAAATGAGAGCGCCCTGGTGAGTGGCCCCAGAAATCGACCTAAGGTGTCTGCCTGCTTCTTCATCTGCAGAGAGGATCAACACCACCTGTCGCAAAGACAGTTCTGGGAATACATGAGAAGCCAGGTCAGCACCCAGCCGGCACACAGCAAGTACCCAATGAATGCTGGGAACAAACACCCTCCCCCGGGGATGCCTCCGGGCAAAACCTGGGGACCAGCGTCTCTCGGCAGGCTGGGCCCAGCCGGTGGAGAGCAGGAAACAGCCTGGCCTGGATGGGGGTGTGCAAGGGACATACCAGCCCTCCATCCAAACCCGGGCAAACGGGTTAGTAAACAGCGAGAGAACACTCATCCAGCTGTGACAGACGCTGCAGTGAGGAGCGTGGGAAAGTGGCCTCTCAGGCCAGCTGCTCGGCCAACCCCACGGTCACTTCCGTCGGCAGGCTGGCTCGTGGGGAGGCGTTCGAGCGGGCCTGAGTGCCCAGCACTGAATAGGAACAGCCGAGCCGGGCCGGGCCGGGGGGCGCTCCCGGCGAACTGCAGGCCCGCCGGGGCCGGCCCGCGCACACGTTACTGGTCCGCCCGGCCCCGCTCGGCGGCTCGCGGGTTGGTGAAACTGTCGCCCCCGGGCCTGCCCCTCGGCCGACAGCGCCCCCGGGCGCGCACTCACCTGGGCCCCGCCGCGCGCGGGCATCCGGAGGCTCGGCGGGGACTCTCGGCTGGGACTCGCCGGACGCGTAGCCCACCGGGAGCCGAGCACACCGGGAGCCGACCCCGGAAGCGCGGCCCGCCCGGGGGTGGAGCCGACGCCTGCGCGGACCACGACAGAAGCCAGACGAGCGCGGGGCACGGACTCCGCCCCGGGGGTGGGGCCGGGGTGGGGCTACAGCGGGTGGACGGCCGGGAGCGGGGTCCGGCACGTACCGCTGCCCCGCGCGCCGCCTCCCATCCTGGACAAAGGCCCGGGGTTGCTGGGACGCTGGCGGCGTGAGAAGGGGGAGAAGGCGGCTGGGGTTGGGGTGAGCCCCGCCGCACCTCGGGCCCCCTCGGTGACCTGTCCCCCGCCCCCGCTTGCACCCTGGTCCCACAGCCGCAGAGCCCACTCCACCACCAGCCGGTGGTCAGGCCGCCAGAGAACTGGTCCGCCTTGAGCCTTGCCTGGGCCTTTGAGGGGCCCCGGTTGGACGTGTAGTGGTTTGGGGATGGCCCGCAGACGGTTCGGTAGGGTGCACGTGGAGTGCGCGTGAGGGAGATGGCAGCGGAGCCCGGTCCTCGGGACACGCCTTCCTGGACGGCGGGGTTATTACCGACTCGCTTCTGACCTCGGGGTGGGGGCTGGGGGCATTGGTGGGGAGGTTGGGCGGGGCAGTGGGCCGGAGACTTTGTCTAGGAAGCGGACACCAGGCCTTTCCGGAAGCCCGCCCCTGGTCATCGTCGCAGGCGGGTCGGCGATTCTGTCTCTGCGGTGGAGCCCCCACCCCTCCCACGACCCAAGGATGCTGAGGAGCCCGCCCACGTCCTGGGGTGGGCCTGCTGGAGCTGGGCCAGCCTCCTCAAGATTGAGGCCGAGACTAGGGCTGCGGGACCCGAGAACACCCGCCTTGCAGGGCGGCGGCTGGGGGCCATACGGGGAAGCGGCTGCCCTCATCTCTGATGCCCCTTACCCGGGCCCAGCGCCTGCTGCGCCCCTGCCTGTAACCCCTCACGTCGGATTCGCGCCCCAGGGGGAGGGGAAGGGAGTCTGGCGAGGGAGATGCCTGGTCCAGAGAATGGAGGGCCATGAGTGGGGTGTGTTCATGCACAGGGCTGTTCTGGGCGGGATGCCCCTGGAGGGAGGAGCATACTGCCCGCCCCTGTGGCTCAGTGGACTCTGGAGGGCAAATGCAGTCCAAACACCCCACAGAGGTCGCTCTAGGGTTTATCCGGGTCTGCACGGCCCTCTGCTGTTCAGGCACAGACCCACCCCCTGCGCAACCCACCCCTGCCCTGGAAAAACTGGAGGAGTGTGTCCTGAGCTGTATTTGATTTCTGTGACCCCTGCCCTGGGAGGGGGTCCCCATGGGGGTCCGGAGCACAGCTGGGCATAGGATGGTGTCAGATGGGAGGTGCTGGGGGGCCATGTGACTGGGGCCCTCAGATGATGGGGGCACCTGGTCTCAGGGCAAGTCCAGCTGGGAGGCCCCTGGTCTCCAACTGCTGCTGCTCTGATCAGCTCAGGGGCTGAACTCCAGCCGAGGCCCAGCCCAACTGCACCCAGGGCCCCGACCAGGACTTCCTGGGGAGGGAGGGGCAGCAGCCTTCCAGCGCCAGCTGGAAGCCACCCAGCTGTTTGTGGCACTATGTGCCGCTTCCGGTGGGCAGTGTGTCATAAAGGCAGCCTGGAAGTGACTCCCTCCCCTTTCTTTCCTCCTTACCCCCTGCAGCCATTCTGCCCAAACAATGACTCCCCCTTCCTGCCTTCTTGTGTACCCAGCCCCCCTTCCCTCCCCCTTTCCCCCATCCCCCTGTCCAGGAGGGAAACTGAGGCCCCAGTTGGGCCGGGTCCCCCTGGTGAGGGCAGGGGCAGGGTAGGTGCTGTTTTGTATTAATTTTTTTTTTTTTTTGAGCAAGATCAGCCCTGAGCTAACATCCATGCTAATCCTCCTCTTTTTTGCTGAGGAAGACCGGCTCTGAGCTAACATCCACTGCCAATCCTCCTTTTTTTTTTTTTTCCCAAAGCCCCAGTAGATAGTTGTATGTCATAGTTGCACATCCTTCTAGTTGCTGTATGTGGGACGCGGTCTCAGCATGGCTGGACAAGCGGTGCGTTGGTGCCCGCCCGGGATCCGAACCCAGGTCGCCAGCAGCGGAGCGCGTGCACTTAACCGCTAAGCCACGGGGCTGGCCCTGTTTTGTATTAATTTTTATTCGGATTTCACAAATGGTACCAGGTCCTTGCAGAATCATGGGGCGTCCACACGTTCCTGGAGGGGTGTTTTATCCTCACCTCAGGAAGAGGAGACAGAGGCTCGGAGGGCAGCCCTGGCCCCCAGGAGGAGGAGGCAGGGCCAGCACCAGCAACCCACTTCTCCAGATGTTCCGGCCTGAGCGCATGGGCTTGCGCAACCTCTGCACTCTCCCCACCCCCCACTTCCTGGTTTGTGGTCTGAGGCCCCACCGCAGGCTGGAAGTGGTGGGCTGAGCATTCCCACTGTGGCCTGCAGGGCCAGAGAAGAGGGTGCTAGGTGGGAGGGGCCGGGGCCTTCTCGGTCCCCAGTGTGCCCTGCTGCTGGGCTGGGAGAGGCATGCTGGAGGATGTCAACGGAAGATGGAGGTGAGGACACCGTCAATGCTTTGACAGGGGTCACCGCAGGGGTGGGCTGGTCTGTGCCCTGCCAGGCTAGCCCACGGCCTGTGGAGGGGCCATCAGTCACTGCAGCCTTGAGAGAAAGGACAGAGGCTCTGCCAGCCACAGAGGCCCGAGTTCCAGCACCAGCCCTGTCCCAGGGCACCCAGCCACCGGCTCAGTGTCCCTCTCTCTGATGTCAGGAAGGCTGACACGGTCAAAGGGAGAGCTGGGTCAGAGTCCAGTGGGGTCCCGCACACGGCTTCTCAGCAGGGTGGCTTCTGGCATCCTGGCCGGCCTCCTAGGCCCGCGGTGCCTGATGGGCCCTGGAGGGGTCAGAGGATCCTTGAGTAGAGAGGGAGCTGAAGGTCTGTGGGGGCTGCATCCTCCCTTCCCAGGGCTGTGCAGCCAATGCTGCTGGGCCCCGGGCCCAGGCATTTATGGGCCCCCTTGCCGTGCCCTGACACACGGGAAGGGGCAGCTACCTCAGAAATAGCCAGTGACTTCAGGCCCCTGGCTGGCCTAGCCCACTTCTGCCTCCTCCCCAAATAGCGTGGGGCTGGTCCTGGCCCTCCAGGCCCCTCAAAGCCAAGGGACTGGCCTGCTGAGCTGAGGAGTCCAGGGTGGCTGGCAGGGACTCCTCCTACGGGTCAGGGCTCCCACTCCCTCCGGTCCAGAGTGCAGTCCGCAGCACGAGGGCCATCCAGACACCAGCCCATCCCGTCACCTGCCCAGGGGCTAGGCAGCTGCAGCTGATTTCCATTTCTGCAAAGCCGGGTAAAGGGAATGGAGGGACCAGAAGCTGAGTTTCTGTGTAGGGGGCTTCTCCACCAGAGCCCAGGGCAGTGGGGCAGACATGAGGCAGAGCACACGTGTGCATACACGTGTCCGTGTGGACTGGGTCCAGGCCTGAGCACAGATGTGTCCACTCTCCTCGGCTTACACCATCCTTCTGATGCCAGGGTCCTCTCTCAGGAGGCCCGGGTGGGCTGAGACCTGGGGATTCCTGGATCTGCCTGCCAGGGTGCGCCGGGCCGTGCTTGGGGCTGGGGGGCTGCTGCAGATCCCACCGGAGCTCGAGAACTGAGAAGGCCCTTTGGAGGTGACTGGAATGAATACAGGGGGAAGCCCTTCACCTGTCACTGGACACAGAGACCACCCTCTCTGGGGAGGGAGCATGATGTTGGGCAGCTCTTGTCCACTGCAGGTGACACCTCGAGGGGTCTCAGCTGTGAGCCAGCTATGGCTAGTCACCCTGGCAGCTGGGGGGGAGTGTCTGGGTCAGGGGGCAGGTCTGGGTGGCGCCTTGCAGTGTCCACTGTGGGAGAGGACCTGCCAGCACCGGATGCCCAGCCGTGGCATGCTTTGGAGGGGAGCCCAGGCCCTGGACGCCAGAGATGACACTGCCGCTGGCCCTGCCAGCCCAGTCTTGACATCCAGCTGGGGGAGGCTTGCTTATCCCTGGCAGGGGTCGAGAATGTGGGGCATGGAGAGACTGTCCTGTCTGGCTGCGAGCCTGGCATGGGAGGGGTGGCACGTGCGGGCTGCAGGAGCCCTGAGCATTAGCATCAGGTGGCCTCCCTCTTGTCCTGTGTCCCCAGTGCACCTGAGGTTGCCCCCCAGTGAAGAAGACCCTCTACCCCCTCCAAAGCTTTCGTTATCTCCCTTTACCTAAGGATCATGTGGAATGTGGATATGCCTGTGTTCACAGAGGCCCCAGTATGTGCAGGCACCATTCTGTCCTATGGTATGGACGAGGATGCCATCAGAGGACTCTGTCCCTTGCCCAGGCTCCGGGACCAAACTGCATGTTGTCAGCTTTCTTTTCTGTGTAGCCGCGGACCAGGTCGTGTCTGCAGGCAGGCAGTGGGCAGGGCCGCTGACCGTGGCAGCAACTGTCCAGACGGCCAGTGCCACCCGGTCCCAGACCAGCAGAGGCTCTTAGGAGACATTTGTGGGCCCTCTGAGGCTTGAGGGGCTGGGCCTCACATGCCCCGAGGTGTTCCGGCCTCCAGTGGAAGGGTGCTTAGGAGACCTGTGGTCCCAGTTCTGTTTTCTCCAAGGGAAGAAGGGAGACCATATCAACTACCCAGAGGAAGCCTGGGCCCCTCCACCACTCACAGCTCCGGGTCGTCCCTGCCTGCTCCCTGCCATTGTCACCCTGCCCCCATTCCCGGGTGTTCCGGACCCACCGACTCCTGAGTGTCCTGAGAGAGGAAGGCTGGGAAACTCAGCAGCAGCCTCAGCCTAGTGCAGATGGGCCATTTTGTGTCCAACTCAGAGAGTGGAGGGGCGAGCCCTGGGCCGTGAGGGACTCTGAAAGGGGGGCCCCCGAGGGTCCCCAGAAACGGTGCGCAGGTTTCAGGGCTGTAGGCCCAGCCTGGCCTGGAAGCCTGCAGGGAGAGCAGGGCTGCCGGGGCAGGGAGCACAGGGGCCTGGGGAGGGGTA